GATTTAGATATAGTTCCCACATATAGATAATATTTTTAACAACGCGGCGTACCGAAAAGCGTGTATCAATTTTACTATAAATCGTTTTCCATAAATTTTCCCCATGTTACGCAGACGTCTATAAATCTGCTCGAATGAAATTAAAGTTAGGATAGGTTGGTGAAAGAGGGAACATAGACATGCAATTGTTAGGATACATATGTACAATATACCCGAAGTGGTGAAGGGTATCATATACTACGACTATACTACTTTTCTTACTGGTTCCAACTGAAAAAGGTTCGGACACTTGATATAGGTTCATGCTTTGATACAGCTCCATACAAAGAAAATAAATATTGAATATAGATCCATGTTTATCATATAAAGGTCCGCCTAATGTTCTGTATTTCGAGGGCTTCGGCAACATTTTTGAGGGTATAGAAAGTTCGGTCGGGCAATAATGACGTTTTACTTGTTAATAATATTCTTCAAGGAGTGTTCAAGCATGTATTTTTTTTATTAACGGTCTGTATTTAAAATAAATCTGTGAGGGGTCTTATATGTACGAGATTTTTTTAGATATTCTATGTATTGCAACCTACTTTGCCTCATAATGTAGTGTATATAAAATATTCTGTATCGCCCATATTTCTCACGATGAATCGATGCTCCTCTGCAAATAAATAATAGTTAACGTCAAGCGTCATTTTAATCGTTTCAAATTCCAACAATTTCATTGTTGGCAAAACTTTCCATGCACAAACTTTATCTGCGCTACGCTATGCAGAACAACAACAAAAATCCTATGCGTAACTTTTGCAAAGTGTTGATATTATATAATTGCTTTACAAATTGCTACTTTTCAACATTTCATTGTCTGCTGCGTTTCTTTTCCTTTGTACTCTTTTATGGCAATACTATGGAACATGGGAAAAAGTTTTTCGGGCAACATATTGCCAAAATTGTAGGCTTACCATAAACTAATTGGCCTTCTTCGTTGGCATCTATTACTGTTACATTTTTCTTCTTCGTTTTGGCATGGTTGGTGCGTTCAATTGTTGTTAATGTAACAATTGCGATGCGAATATTTTTGTTGTTGTTGCAAATTTTAATAAATGGAAAATTTTTCGTTCGAAATGTTGTAACGAGAGAAAAAGGGGATAATAGATTTTTGAATATTTCATATTAGCGTATGATGATTGTTGTGGTTAGGAATGTGTGTTTGTTCATTTTCTCTTTGAAAGTTGTAATCAATTTTGAACTGTTGTTGAATTGTAATAAATTAAGCAAGCAATAAATCGAAATAAAGAAAATAATTAATAATGCTCGTGGATTTTTGAAGCAATATTGTTTCAAGCAATATTGTTTCAAGAACAGGCGTGGATTTTTTAAAGAAAACCTTTTCAAAGACCTACACTAGACGTGGATTTTTTAAAGAATATTATTTCAAGGACCTACTGAAGGCGTGTACTTTTTAAAGAATATTTTTTCAAGGACATATCAAAGGCGTGAAATCCTTAAAGAATATTTTTTCAAGGATATATCACAGGCGTGTACTTCTTAAAGAATATTTCTTCAACGACTTTTAAAGCCGTGGAATTTTTAAGGAATATTTTTTCAAGGGCCTATACAAGGCGTGGATTTTGTAAAGAACATATTTTCAATGACCTGTACAAGGCGTGATTTTTTTAAAGAATATTTTTTCAAGGACCTATACAAGGCGTGGTCTTCTTAACACTAGAACGCCGAAGGCGGTCATTTTGACCGATTTCCAATTTCAAGTACAAAAGCAACTGTGCATTTAATGACACTTTTTTTAAAATTTGGTGAATTTTTTATAATAAACGTAATTCTATGAGGTACAAAAAGTCACCATATTTAAAAAAAAAGTGTCATTAAATGCACAGTTGCTTCCAAGGCGTCCAAGGCGTTGACTTTTTAGAGGAAAAAAATGTTGAAGGACTATAAAAGGCGTGGACTTTTTAAAAGAAAAAATGTTGAAGGACTATCCAAGGCGTGGACTTTTTAAAAGAAAAAATGTCCAAGGCGTGGACTTTTTAAAAGAACAAATGTCCAAGGCGTGGACTTTTTAAAAGAAAAAATGTTGAAGGACTATCCAAGGCGTGGACTTTTTAAAAGAAAAAATGTTGAAGGACTATCCAAGGCGTGGACTTTTTAAAAGAAAAAATGTTGAAGGACTATCCAAGGCGTGGACTTTTTAAAAGAAAAAATGTTGAAGGACTATCCAAGGCGTGGACTTTTTAAAAGAAAAAATGTGGAAGGACTATCCAAGGCGTGGACTTTTTAAAAGGAAAAATGTTGAAGGACTATCGAAGGCGTGGACTTTTTAAAAGAAAAAAATGTTGAAGGACTATCCAAAGCGTGGACTTTTTAAACGAAAAAATGTTTAAGGACTATCCAAGGCGTGGACTTTTTAAAAGAAAAAATGTTGAAGGACTATCTAAGGCGTGGACTTTTTAAAAGAAAAAATGTTGAAGGACTATCCAAGGCGTGGACTTTTTAAACGAAACCAGTAAGGAAAGTAGTAAAGTCAGACGGGGCCGACTATATGATACCCTTCACCACTATGGGTATATTAAACAGGACTATTAACATAAAATTGGATGAAATAAAATATGTGATATTTATCTAAATGTGAATCTACCTAGATCTATCCATAAACATGTCATTCGTTTGTTACAATGGGACAAAAATATGTAAATCGACTTCAAACAAATATAAATCGGTCATCCGTTGGGCTATATCTGTACTTCTAGAAAACGCAACTACGTAATTCTATGCTCAATTTTGTAAGTTGTGCAAAATTTGATATCAATCTGACTAACGTGAGCAGTTTGATGCCCAATTTACTTGAAATCGGGCGAAAATATATATGGAAGCTTTATCCAAATATTAAGCGATTTCAAACAAACTTGTCACAGGTTAGGTTATACTAATTTCAGAACGTTTTGTTCCTATTAGTTCCTTGGTGCCTCAATTAATTAAAATCAATCTATAATAAAAGGGAGCTATATCTAAATCTAGGCCGATTTTCACGAAACAAGGCAGACATCACTCTAGGCTCAATTCAGTACGTTGTGCCAAATTTAGTGCAAATCGAAGGATATATAGGGACTTTGGTGCACCATTTACATAAAATCGGACGAAACTATATATGGGAGCTATATCTAAATCTGGACCGATTTTCTCGAAACTTGGCAGACATCATTCTAGGCTCAAGTCAGTACGTTATGCCGAATTTCGTCCAAATCGAAAGATATATAGGGATTTTGGTGGACCATTTATATAAAATCGAACGAAACTATATATGGGAGCTATATCTAAATTAGGACCGATTTTCTCGAAACTTGGCAGACATCACTCTAGGCTCAATTCAGTACGTTATGCCAAATTTCGTGCAAATCGAAGGATATATAGGGACTTTGGTGCACCATTTACATGAAATCGGCCAAATTTCGCGAAACTATATATGGGAGCTATATCTAAATCAGGACCGATATTCTCGAAACTTGGCAGACATCACTCTAGGCTTAATTCAATACGTTATGCCAAATTTCGTGCAAATCGAGAGATATATAGGGACTTTGGGGCACCATTTACATGAAATCGGACGAAACTATATATGGGAGCTATATCTAAATCTTGACCGATTTTCACGAAACTTGGCAGACATCATTCTAGACCTAAATGATTAGGCTGTACCAAATTTCGTGCAAATCGAAAGATATATAGGGACCGTTTACATTAAATCGGTTAAATATATATATGGGAGCTATATCTAAATCTGAACCGATTTTTCCCAATTTCAATAGGGTTCGTCCTTGAGCCAAACAAATGAGCTGTGCCAAATTTCATCCAATTCGGATCATAAATGCGACCTGTACTTTGCTCACAAAAATACATGGACAAACGGACGGACGGACGGACATGCATAAATCGACTTAGAAAGTGATTCTATGCATATTCTCAAAAGGAACCATGTGTCTATCTCGTTTCCTTTTGCCTGTTACAAACATATGCACAAAGACATAATACCCTGTACCACAGTGTGGTGAAGGGTATAAAAATGTTGAAGGACTATCCAAGGCGTGGACTTTTTAAAAGAAAAAATGTTGAAGGACTAGAAAAAATGTTGAATGATCAAATACTTAATTTATGTCGGTTTTTCTGGTCGCTCCAGAGACCGCAATTATGGCCCGAACATCGTAAATTTTTACATGGATAAGGGGATTGTGCCAAAGAATAAGCATGCCAGTTTTGATAAACAGCGGTCAGTATTTAGCTTGTCAAATGAACCCTGACTTTTGTGGGAAAAATGTGTATTCTATGGCATATATATCTACCCCTGAAGAAAATAGACCAGAGAAGTTGATAGTATATCCAAGAGGAGTGGTTGTCCTTTAATTGTATACCAAATTATATTGTAGTATGCACTGGGAGTTACACGTAAATATTTATAGGTGTTTACGTGTTCACACATTATTTAGTAACCCATTGCCACACTAGGTGGCGAAAATATAGCGCTGATGGCTTTGAAATTTTTCATGAGTATCCAGGTATGGTCAAGGACAACGCATAAAATTTTCGGTGATAATATTGGATGAAGTGGGCCGAAAACTTAACTTGTTGTGTCTTTTTCGAGTCGATGAAAGCCGAACATCACAACACATCCCTCGGTGAAGGGAATCTGTAATATTTGTTGACCTCTAGTCGGTGAAGAGGGTGAAAATATCGCGAAATATTGCCTAAGCTCAGAATATAGAACCACACAATGTTAGATTTTCGTGAAAGTTGTGCAGGATATCATATGGTCGTCCCCGTCCGACTATACTGCTCCGCTCCCTGGTTTAAAAACTAATTTTTCTTTTATTCCCAATTGATAAAATAAATATAGAAAAAATGTCTAAAAACATTTAAAACAAACTAGTATTGAATATTATTTCAATATTTCTGTTCATTCGATAATTATTTTATTTTTTAAAATATTTTCCAGGAAAATGTCTCACCCCACAGGAGAACGCATAAAAGTCACCTTCGACAAAAAGGAACTGCAAAATCGAATAACAAATTTTACATTTCGTGAGGCACGTCGTCATTCTGGCAATCTCTATGCAGCTCTTGTGCAAGAACTTCGTGAAGATGGTTGTTTGACATCAGCAAAATATTTCGAAATGTTAGCCTCTAAAGAAACGGATTATTATAAGAACAATGTGATACGAGATCGTGTTATGGATCATCCCGGTTTCCTAATGTCCCTCTATGACAATTGTAAAATGGCCGAAAGATCTGCACTGCTGGAACAATGTGAAGGAATGGCGGTAACATTTAATTTACTATACCAAATTGTCTCAATGATGGATGAACCAAAATATGCCAGAAAATTTAATTGGCTACGGAAGGATGTCTATGAAATTGTGGCAAAAATATGCGATAAACTAGGTAAGGGGAAGAACAATGTGGAAAGGCCAATTGCAATGATTTATTTAAAATATGGTAATCTTTTAAGTGGCGAAAGTAAGTAATTCAGATTTTCCTTAAATAAGCAGCAATATGTATGTTTCACAATAAAAATTCTCTTGCAGATGAAACCATAAATCTAGCCTTACTCTACTATGAAAAGGCTATTACATTGGCACAAACCAATAAATGGATTACAAACACCACCACCCCTGCGGATGCTCGCGCGGCATTAACATCTCTGCACACCACAATCGCTGAACATTATGTGGCAGCTCTTTTGAAATTTGGCAAATCAATTGCCGTCAGCGATTATTTACAGGCCGTTGGTTTAGGCCAAAAGGCTATTTGCGTTCTAACACAAGGTACAGCCATTCAATTTTGATTAGAACCATTCGATGCAATTCCATTTCAATTTGCTATAGTGGGTCGCAATGTACGAAATCTACATCAATTTACGGATATTGAAATGCACATTGCGGAATTTTACATTGAAGGGGAAAAATATGATGTCGCCTTGGCTCTACTTCAGGAATTAAGCGATGAAGTGTCAAAGATTGATAATCGATATAGTGAAGAGCTGACAATGCGTTTGCAATTGAATAAGGGAATTTGCTATACCAAGTAAGTAAATAACTAATGTTAAGAAGTGATGTATATACACCACACCTGCAGCAAAAATGGACGGAGGACATTTATAAGATATTACCTGGGATTCAATAACACCATTAACAAATAATTTAATTCCTTGTTTTTTGTCAAATTAAGGAATTATCGTATCTCGCCAAGAACGACCAGTAGTTAAAAGAAAACCAGAAACAGTGGGAAAGGTGTGGTATTGTTTGTAAATGCCTTGTTAACCTCGAAGTGAGGCTCCAGCGAAATTCTCATGCAGTTTATGTCGTTGGTCAGCTAAGTACTTCGCTTTGTTACAAGAGACATTTGGGTATGAAAGGTTTTTTGTATAGAAGAAATAGCTTCTGGGGAGAATATCCCAACAAAAAGCTAAGGGAACTGATGAGGATCAGTGGCGTGATCCGAAACTATAGTCTTCCCTGCCTTACCCCTCGGCAAACAATGTCATACATTCCCCACTAATAAATAGTTGTTTTATATAAAAACAACAAACTGGGATTCAGCCTGACTATTTTGCAAAAACAGAAAATTTTTTTTGCTAAGAACAGATACATATTTTTAATTTTTGGTAAAAAAAAATCCGAGCCCAGTGATAAACAGAAATATTAAATTTGAGCCAATTCACTTTGAAAACACTTTGAAAATTCCGCAATCCTAAGTATTAAATGTGATCCATATCTATATATGAGTCGACTTTAATCAATCCTTATACACAAGTATTAAGGTCTTCTAGCATTAGCCTACAAATTTCGATTACATTACCACTTTGAATGCTACTTTCGCTTCATATGAAATTTAAAAGTTGGGTTAATCTGCAGTTTTGATAAAAATATTACGATTTAAAGAGCTGGAGTTACCTCGGACATTCCATTCCATTGATATTATATTAAAACAAACATAGGAATGAAATGAAAATATGGGGAACATACCAAAAAGTGGGCCTATAACGACATTTCTTCCAATCGACTTTTGCAATCCATAATGTGGATCAAATACAAATTTCAGCAATTTTAATAGGGGTTTTTCCTAAAAACTCAAAACCTCAAAATTTTTACTTTTATTATGAAACCATGGTAGGGTGAAACATGTGTATATGTTTCCTTTTGAGAATGTCTGCCCATGTTAAATTGTAAACAAAGTACAGGTCCCATTTATGATCCAAATTGGATAAAATTTGGGCCAGCTCATTTATTTGACCTTAGGCCAACCCCATTTGAAAATTGGGAAAATCGGTTCTGATTTAGATATAGCTCCCATATCTGGATTTTAGGTAAATAGTGCACCAAAGACACAAATTTAAGCCGATTGGTTTTATATAGGGGCTATGCCTAAATTGTAGTTTTTTATCCTCCAAGGGTAGAATGATTACAACAGATCAATAAATTCCATACTATGTAGGCTATAAACGGACAATTCGGGTGAAAAGCGCGCTCAAAACCCCAAAATACCGAAAATTAGAGGGTACCCTTATATGGGGGCTACCAGAAAAAATTGACCTACATTTATAATTTTTTGTGGGGAGATTAGCTACCCAATATATAGGGGCTACCTGCAGTTAAAAGACTCTATGCAATTTTTTTTGGCGATCTATCTCAATTCGTTTAGAGGCTAGAGGGATTACAACAGACTAAACTGGCTAAATCGTCTTAGAATTAGAAACACGCGACCAAACCCAAAATACAGAAGAGTTGACCAATATTGACGATGCTACCAAATAAAACGACCAATTGCAGTTGATTTGGTTTGAAAACGTGCCCAAATCCCCAAAGGATCGTATAATGTGGAGTGCCAAAATATGGAGGCTTTCTGCTCAATATGTATCCCTTATATTAATAAAGCAATTTAAATACCAAATATCCTAGGAGTAGTAGCAATGTATGTGCAAATTTCAGAGCACTATCGTAAATCGTGGAGGGTAGAAAAAACTAACTTAATATTGGGCTATCGTTATGTAAATTATACATCAATAATACTGCTATGCAAGACAACGTTTGCCGGGCCTGCTAGTATATATATATATATATATACTTTGTAGGGTCGGATATGATTATTTCGATGAGTTACAAACGGAAAAACAAAATTAATATACCCTCTATACTATGGTGGAGGGTATAAAACTTCGATAGAGACATTTACATGGGGACTATTTTATGGTGTAATGTGATTGTTAATTGTTCATGCTCCGAAAAAAAGTGAAATTCGGTTCAGATTTAGATATAGCTACCATACATATTTTCGACCGATTTTATGTTAATGATACACCAAAGCCCCTAAATTTCTTTCGATTGGCACTCAATGTGGCACATCGTACTTAATTGAGTCTAGAATTGTATGTCTTATGTTTTGTGAAAATCGTCCAGTTTTCGATACTGCTCCCGATGGTATGTAAATTGTGCACTAAAGACCCGAAGTTTCTGAAATTAGTATAGCCTTTTTTGTTGAAATCGGTGCGTATAGCTCCCGTATATATTTTCGTCCGATTTCAGGCAAATTGTGTCCCAAAATCCTAATTTTTGTAAGATTGACACGAAAGTGTGCACAACGTATTGCATTGAGACTAAAATGACGTTATTGCGTTTTGTTGAAATTTGTGTAGATGCAGACATATTTTCCATATACAATATTTTCGAGCGACTTCATGTTAAGTGTACACCAAATAATAATATTTTGAATTGTGCAGAATACTGCATAGCGTATATAATATACGATATAAAAAAATTAGCATAGGTTGCAGCTTCGAGGTAGTTAAAGACTTTATATACCTTGGTACTGCCATAAATAAAACGAATGGCATCAGTTGTGCAATTCGGAGAAGATGGCCAACCGAGAAAGGCCACCTCCCGCCAGACCAAACTCACACTTTACAAGACGCTGATACTACCCGTGCTATTATATGGATCAGAAGCATGGGTACTTGCGCAAGCAGATGAGGCTGCTCTTGGGGTGTTTGAAAGAAAAATTCTCCGAAAGATCTACGGGCCGATCTGCATCGACGGTGAATATCGGCGTCGAATGAACCACGAGCGGATACGCGGACATCGACATAGTCAGTCGTATTGAGCTGCAGCGACTACGGTGGCTAGGCCATGTTGTGCGGATGAATGAGGCATATAAAAACGATCCTACTGATGGTTCCCGTAGAAGGGGAAGGCCGCGAATTAGATGGAAAGGCCAAGTAGAAAAAAAAACTTGGAATGTGGTCTTCCAAATTGGTGGATTTGCGCACAAGACCGCCGCGCTTGGAAATCTTTTTTAAGCTCGGCTTATGGAACAACCCTTCTGTAACAAGCCAGCTAGGTAAGTAAGTATAGGTTGCAGAATGGCATGTGTATGGAATAACAGCAATGATCTCATAATTACGTTCCTTCACTCAAAGTGGTGAAGGGTATCAAATAGTCGGCCCAGCCAGAGAGATGTCGGTTAAGTGGCTCATCAGGCATATTGGGCAATGTGGCTTACAAATGTCGTTGTATTTATGTCGAATATTGTTGCGAAATTGCATCTATGAATTAAATTCAACCGTGCCAAGGTTCGGACATTTGGCAGCACACCAGAACATTCTTTTTAGTGACGGACATTTTTCCATACAGACTACAATATTTTTTCTTCAATGGTGTACAATTGCATATTGTCCAACCTTTGGAAGATAATGAGGTGACTTTGAACGCTAAGACGCCGGACAACAATCATCAGATGCCGTGGAAATCAGGATTCAAATCCCAGCCAGGTTCAAGCTGAATTTCTCAGTTGTATACATTTTTAGGCGAAGCATCATTCATGTAAATGTTTTTATTAACTTCTCTTTCGAGATTTTCGCCCTTTCGTAGTTTATGCCATTTTTCGGAAGAAATTTGGTCTGATATACGACAGTTTTGTTAAATAATAAGTCATCTGATCTGTCATCTGAATTATTCCTCTTGCCAAACTGGAGATTTTTTTCTGTATGTTAATAGTTTCTAATGGTTCTGGTCAACATGTTTCGTAAAAAGTATTTTTATATGGCCATGTTTCGAGTTTAGGATAACATTTACTTCATATACAATAAGGGGTATATTAAAGTTATGACATCAGATTTTTCAAATATTTAATTATTTTTAGTTTAAATCGAATTAAAGAAGCTATGCAACATTTTATGGAAGCATTAAATTTAGCACAAAAATTACAATGCAAAACAGCTGCAGCACAAATCTATATGGAAATTGGAAAACTATATTTGCAGCAAGGTGTCAGCCAACGTAATATGGCAAGAAATGCATTTTTAAAATCGAAAGAAATTTACGAAAGCCTAGGCGACTTACAAAATAGTAAAAAGAATAAATATCTATTGGCTCAGGTAATGAGTACCGAAATATTTCCCCTGTTCATGGATCTTATGAAGGCAAGTGATAAATATTGTAATTTATTTGATTTACGTCGTTGGAAATATCAATTGAAACCATTTTGGCGTGATCAATATTTAAAAACTGAAATGGGTGATGAATTGCAGTGTCTACTGAACGAGTTTCCTCCAAAGAAAACAAATTAAATTTTAAAAAATTCGTTAGTAAAATTTTGTTTGGCAAATTTATAAACAAATTTCTTTGAAATAAAATCAATATTCATTTTTTTCTGTTAGATGAAGTGCAATCATTATAATTTTCTTCCTTTTTCCGAATTGTGGAAATAGTTTTCCATTTGTTTGTGGTGCCAGGCATTTGCCTTGTCTCTCAGTCTGTGGTAACAACAAGTTATTTCTCTAACCACTTTTTTCCATTTTCATGCTGTTCATGGTGAGACTGTTGGTTATTCCAATGACTGCTGCCACGGCCACTGTAGCTGATGATGGTGATGACCATACTGATGGGTATGGTAAACCAGCATCATTTTCTTATCTAAACAGGCTAAACGATACTACTTTTGCGCCACTGCATTACGTTACTTATGATATGAAATAGGTGGGGTGATCAGGTCTAGAATTCTTTGAAAGCTACCGAAGATGAATTTCTAGCGACTGCATCTTTAAGGACCACCAGAAGTGGACTCTTTTAGGAATATTTTTCAAGGACCTATACAAGCGTGGATTTTTTAAAGAATATTTTTCAAGGACCATCCATACAAGGAGTGGATTTTTTAAAGAATATATTTTCAAGGACCATCCATACAAGGCGTCGATTTTTTAAAGAATATTTTTTCAAGGACCATCCATACAAGGAGTGGATTTTTTAAAGAATACTTTTCAAGAACCTACAAAAGGTGTGGATTTTTAAACAAATATTTTTCAAGCACCTAGACAAGGCGTGGAGCTTTTAAGGAATATTTTTTCAAGCATCTATGCAAGGCGTGGAGTTTTTAAGGAATATTTTTTCAAACATCTATACAAGGCGTGGATTTTTTAAAAAAAATTTAGTTCAAGGATCATCCATACAAGGCGTGGATTTTTTAAAGAATATTTTTTCAGGGACCTATACAAGGCGTGGATTTTTTCAAGAATATTTTTTCAACGACCATCCATACAAGGCGTGGATTTTTTAAAGAATATTTTTTCAACGACCATCCATACAAGGCGTGGATTTTTTAAAGAATATTTTTTCAACGACCATCCATACAAGGCGTGGATTTTTTAAAGAATATTTTTTCAACGACCATCCATACAAGGCGTGGATTTTTTAAAGAATATTTTTTCAACGACCATCCATACAAGGCGTGGATTTTTTACAGAATATTTTTTTAGGACCATCCATACAAGGCGTGGATTTTTTACAGAATATTTTTTTAGGACCATCCATACAAGGCGTGGATTTTTTAAAGAATATCTTTTTCAACGACCATCCATCCATACAAGACGTGGATTTTTTAAAGAATATTTTTGAAAATGACCATCCATACAAGGCGAGGATTTTTTAAAGAATATTTTTTCAACGACCATCCATACAAGGCGTTGATTTTTTAAAGAATATTTTTTCAACGACCATCCATACACGGCGTGGATTTTTTAAAGAATATTTTTTCAACGATCTATACTAGGCGTGGATTTTTAAAGAATATTTTTTCAACGATCTATACTAGGCGTGGATTTTTTAAAGAATATTTTTACAACGACCTATACAAGGCGTGGATTTTTATACCCTTCACCACACTGTGGTACAGGGTATTATGTCTTTGTGCATATGTTTGTAACAGGTAAAAATAATCGAGATAGATCCATGGTTCCTTTTGATAATATGCGTAGAATCACCTTCTAAGTCGATTTATGCATGTGCGTCCGTCTGTCTGTCCATGTTAAATTGTAAACAAAGTACAGGTCGCATTAATGATCCGAATTGGATGAAATTTGGCACAGCTCATTTGTTTGGCCCAAGGACGAACCCTATTGAAATTGGGAAAAATCGGTTCTGATTTAGATATAGCTTCCATATATATTTTCGTCCGATTTAAAGTAAATGGTGCACCAAAGTCCCTATATATCTTTCGATTTGCACGAAATTTGGCACAGCGTAATGTAAGAGGACTAGAATGATGTGTGCAAAGTTTCGGGAAAATCGGTCCAGATTTAGATATATCTACCATATATATCTTCGTCCGATTTAAGGTAAATGGTGTACCAAAGTCCCTATATATCTTTCGATTTGCACGAAATTTGCCACAACGTACAAAATTATGTCTAGAATGATATGTGCAAAGTTTCGTGAAAATCGGTTTAGATTTAGATATAGCTCCCATATATAGCTTCGCCAGATTTTAGGTAAATAGTCCACTAATGTACGTGGAAATCTTTTGATTTGCACGAATTTTGGCATAGTGTACTGAATTAAGTCTAGAATGACGTGTGAAAAGTTTTGAGAAAATCGGTTCAGAGTTAGATATAGCTCCCATATATAGCTTCGCCCGATTTTACGTAAATAGTCCACTAAAGTCCCTGGAAATCTTTTGATGTGCACGAAATTTGGCATAGTGTACCGAATTAAGTCTAGAATGATATGTGAAAAGTTTTGAGAAAATCGGTTCAGATTTAGATATAGCTCCCATATATAGCATCGCCCGATTTTAGGTAAATAGTCCCCTAAAGTCCTTGTAAATCTTTTGACTTGCAAAGCGTAATGAATAAGGTCTAGAATGATGTTTGCTAAGTTTCGTGAAAATCGGTTCAGATTTAAATATAGCTCCCATATATAGCTTCGCCCGATTTTAGATAAATAGTCCACTAATGTCCCTTGATATCTTTTGATGTGCACGAAATTTGGCACAGAGTTATGAATAAGATCGAGAATGATGTCTGCCAAGTTTCGTGATTTCATCCGATTTAAGGTCATTGGTGCACTATAAGGTCATTGGTGCCCTATAAATCTTTCGTTTTGCACGAATTTTGGTATAGGGTACTAAATTAAATCTAGAATGCTGTTGCTAAGCTTCGTGAAAGGATCCATAGCTAGGCCGATTGACACAACGTACTGATGTTATATAAATTAGTATCTGGCAAGTTTCCCTGAAATGGGTTCAGATATAGATTTATAACAAAACGCGTCGTCTGTTAGGATACATATGTAAAATATACCCAAAGTGGTTAAGGGTATCATAGAGTCGGCCCAGTCCGACTTTGCTACTTGCCTTACTGGTTATAGAATATTTTTTCAACGACCTATACAAGGCGTGGATTTTTAAAGAATATTTTTCAAAGACCTATACAAGGCGTGGATTTTTAACGAATATTTTTTCAAGTATCTATAGAAGATGAGGATTTTAATGGATTTTTAAAGGGTTGAACATATGGTGGTTCAAGTTTCTATTTTCTCTTACTTTTTACAACTATTACAAATAAGGCTTATTAAAGATAAAAACTATAAAACTTATATAAATCATAGCTTTATATGGTTCTGTTAAATTTATTCCGCTCCCCTCGTACATTACTAACAATAACAACAAGAAAAATAAAACATTAAAACATGACATTTTCAAACTTACGCTTGAAAGTCAGTTGTCGTCAGTGTCAATGGTTTTGGTTCGGAAAAATAGTTTTTCCAATTGATTGCCTTTTTGTGTGATGCACACACAGCCATAGATGATTTGAAATATTTGCCATTACCACCATCAACGCCATCACTACCAACATAACCGAGACTCTGTTCAACTCACTCATACCCACTCAGATACACAACTAAATACAAGTGCCAATGCCACTGTCCACAAAAGTCGTCACTGACATTGCCACCACCAGTCGCACCACTGCCACCACATTTCTACTGATTGTCCCGTAAAAGAGTTTAGACAATACTATAAAATTGAAGAAAATTGCTGTGATATTTTTGGCCCAAACGATGTCAGCCGGCAAATAAGGCATGGCCGTAAAGGGACATGGACTGCAGTTGAGTTTGAATTGGTTACACAGTCGAGAAGGCAGGCGGGCAGTCAGCCAGCCTGGGTATCTCTGTAATAAAGTTTAAATGTGGCAAAAAATTGTTAAGATAACAGTTTCCCTTTTTTTGTTTCGGGGTGTAGGGTGTTGTATATTTTTCTTAAGGCATGTAATGGCTGAATATTTGTTTCTGTGAAGAAATGAAATCAAAGCATCTAATGTTTTAAAGATGTCGTTTTCGAACAATGTGTGTATGGTTATGCTAATGTAAAATCGTTTAGCCATTACAAGCTATTGTAAGCAATCTTCTTGGGGATAATTTTTCTCAAAATATTCTAATACATGTGAACACACAATGATGTCATTTTTATGGGGACGAGATTTATGATAGAGGTTCACACTGGTATGGTTAATTTGTATTTGGAATCAGGAAAACTTATCTTTAAATGAACAATCAATAACAATTTGGAAGAAAAGTTTTCGTAAGGGTAGCTATTAGATCAATAAATAGAATACAATAGCGAACAGATACGATACGTTTTCGAATTCAAACTGCTTTTTGGAAGAAATCCTAATTTTAAAAACCCAATAAATATATATCGGTCTGCAGTAAGTTCTGAGAATATCAACTTAACAACGACTTAATGTAATAATGTTGGGTTAAATAAATTGGCCTCATTATATACTCAATATAGTATAGAATTTCAAATGTCGATTTAATCGAAGATACCTTGGGAGCTTAATGTACCATTTACATGAAATCGGCTGAAGCTATATATAAATTTAAAAAGATTTTCACTAATTTCTATAGGGCTCGTCCTTGGGCCAAATTAATGTGAAGGATCATATGTACGTCCTGTACGGTATATGGTAAGACAGATGAACGGACAAGTATATATCGACTCAGAAAGTGATTCTATGCATATTCTGTGGTCTATCTAGTTTCTTTTTGCATGTTACAAACATATGAAAGTAGTCTAAGTTCATTTTAGTTTCTGATACAAATCCAGATTTCCTAGAAACATTTACAAAATAGGTGCCGATATTTGCTGCTATATTAAAAAAGTTGACCTATATTGGTAATGTTTATCATGTATGGATCTACGAAAAGAGGTATAAAAATTACAATTTATTCTAGGGGTATTCACTACAGCCCATGTGAAAAGTCTGACGATTTATAGAGGGAATGGATGTGC